CACAAGACCAAGTTGTGACAACGAAGTCAACCCACTTTTATAGTTCTATAGCCTATACTTTTTTTCCTCTTTCTCAAGGTTATCAGCTTGTAGCTTTATTTCTTTGGAAAGTTAAGATGGCAATAGCTAAAAATAATTATCGAAGGTATGAAGACCAAGATGGTGTGGCCCTTTGTGTGGTCGTAGTCTCCTTTCGTTGTATAGAGGCTGTTTGACCCTGTTTTCGCAACATGGTCATATTAGTAGGAAGACTTACTGCAACACACCTAGTCTGCATGATCATTTCCAAAGTTGAACCGTGGACATGGTGCATTCCCAAACGTTTCGCCGGCATCGTCAGTGAGTATCGCCATTCTTAGCACCACACAACAATATGACCATGTTGCGAAAACAACCTCTAAAAATAATTATATTTGCTTTATAAATATTAATGAGTCACTGGTTGTCTGACTCGAAAGCGTCTCAAACTAGTATCTAATCCGGTTATTATCATCGGTTATTTCATACTGATATAGTCTTCTACTGTATTCACTTTTGAATAGAATTAAGTTTAGTCTTCCAAAAATCTGTTTTCCTTATCGCAACTACAATTATTTCGTACTTGAGCAACGTTTTTTCCTGTACCCTGAAACATATTTATATCCGTTTATTCAGAATCAAACTTCCCAAGTCCGAATTGGCCTGTGAGTTGCGTAGGACGCAGCTGTACAATTTATCAATGAAGCAGTAAGTTTTTTTCTCAGAGTAATTTGATCCTAGATTATGATTAATTACTTTTTTGCGCTTCAGTGTTGCTCAGGGCGTGAAATATTTTAAAGCCGGACAGAATACGGAGGCCCTACAGTGTTACAATTTTGCAATTGAAGTGGAGAACACTAATCAAGATGCTTTCGTTGCTAGAGGCGCTCTGTAAGAATTGAGTTCATTCTATTCCCTTTTTTATTTAAATAATTTCATCAAATCCCTCCCTAAATTGTATAACCCATCACACCTAATATATGGCTTTTAACCCTTGTAGCTGTTTGAGCTTTCTGTTTTTTAAGTCTCCATTTTCACTTGTATCTTGTATTCATAATCCGAAATATGCCTGTTGAATCGCTTGTAAGCGATTTAGTTATAAAACATGGATTAACTAGACT